CGTCCCACCGGGGGGCGTCCAGGAGGGGTGCTCGCAGCGCATGGCCCGAAGGATGTGCGCGGCCCTGGGGGAGCCAGAGGCTATGCTGAAACGAGAAGAGTGGCCATGACATCTGGGGAGATGCCATGGCCCCACTCATGCCACCTCTTGGCACCCCCGAAGCTCAGCGGGGGGGGGGGGGAGCCTCGACCGAGGATCGGCGCTGCGCCGCCGATAGGCCGGCGGCGGCCCCCCCGACGGCAATCCCGCGCGTCCCTATGGGCGGGGCCGTCACATCGGTCGGGCCCCCCTCGGCGACCAGTGGGCGATCGGGGGTCGACGCGTCCCCCCTCGAGAGCCGATCCCCCCCCCCCTGGCGTGGCTCCTGAGCTCCGCGGCTCCGCCGCCGGCGGGCTCGGCCATGTTTGGCTTTCGGGATGTGCTCTGTGCCTCTCAATCTGGGTCTGGGGGTACCTTGTATATAGTCTGGGGAGGGTGCCTGTAGTCCAGGGGAAGGGTACCGGGGGAGGGTGCCTGCTCATAGCTCCCACTATAGCAGGCACCATAGCTCATAGTGGGAGCTATGGCTCTATAGCAGGCCCCCACAGCTATGCTATAGGGCGAGGAGGGGGAGGGTGCCTGCAGTCCGGGGGAGGTGCCTGCAGTCCGGGGGGGGGGGGTGCCAACAGTCCCCGGGGGAAGGGTACCTCCTGTAGTCAGTCGGGGGGGAGGGACCTGCAGTCTGGGAGGGGAGCGCGCGTTCACGCGTCAACAACGCACGCGTGGATGTGGCAGTCGGGAGGGGGGGGGGTACCTGTAGTCTGGGGGGGGACCTGTAGTCCGAGGGGGGGGGGGGTACCTGCAATCCAGGGGGGGGTGTCTGTGGTCTGGGGGAGGGATGCCTGCAGCCCGGGGAGAGGGTGCCCGCGGGGACCCGGCTCCCCGGCGGCGGGTCGGGACGATCTGGGCGCCCCTGGGAGGCGCTCGACGCAGCGCAGCCGCTGAAGAGCACCCGCAGGCTGAAAAACCGCCGAGAAGCAACGAAAATGTCCCACAACCTCATCGACCAATTGGCGATCTGGGGTCGATGTGCCCCCCCCCCCCCCCCCCGGGAGCCTACTGAGATGACCGCAGGGGTTGCTAAGGGGATGGGGGGGGGGGTAGAAGCGGATGCTACGGCGGGGGCCAGTCCACAAGAAACTTCCCACAAGACACCCAACCCTGAGACCCCAGGACGTCCACGGATTTTTAGGGTGGGAGCGGCACGCTTTTTCACAGCAAAACCATCGAAGCCCAAGAAACCCAGGGCACCCTGAAGGCAAGTAGGGCGTTTCTTGGCATGGGTCTGCACTGTAATGTGGGCTATATCAGGCCTAAACTGGTTCCCAAGTGGGTTGCAGACGCCCTAAATCATTTAAGGGGCGGGTGAAGCGATGTGGTCTAGGTGGGCTCCGCCCGCTGAGCAGCATTATCGAACCCCCCTAAACCACGTAGGGCACACGCAAGCCACTCATAAGTCATGTCAGGCAAGATGTTACCCGTCTTAGCATCCGCGACTCTGGCACTCATCTCAATACACCCCCAAACGTTAGGTCGGGCATGTCCTCCTAAGGCGGATTTGCCAAACACACTCAATCATGTTTTATGAGGCGAACATGTGCTAACATATTCCAGAACCGTTAAACAAACGAAACATCGTCAGCATACCATTGTTTTACCATTCGGAAATACACAACATAGTAAGACACAATAGAGAACAATCGTCAGCATACTGTTCGCTTACCATTGCTGAGCATATTTTTCCTGTGCAGGAACAAGCCCGGCTTAACCCTAGCGCTGCCCTGCACGGTTTCCCCCAGGGCTGTAGGCGACCCGAGGAGGAGGATGAGGAGGATGAGGAGGATGAGGAGGATGAGGAGGATGAGGAGGTGGAGGGAGAGGGGGAGGAGGAGATGGAGGAGGAGGGGGAGGGGGAGGAGCGCGTGGAGGAGGAGGGAAAAGGTAGGAGGAGGAGGAGGAGGAGGAGGAGGCGGAGGAGGAGGAGGAGGAGGAGGAGGCGGAAGAGGCGGAGGAGGAGGAGGGGTCGCCTCAAGCCCTTCGGAGAACCCCTCCGCGCCGCCCCCGAGCTCCGCGGCTCCGCCGCCCGCCGGCTCCGCCGGGCGGGGCGCGGAGGGCGGCCGCGAGCCCGAGGCTCCGCCTCCCGCGGGCGTCGGCGCGGGCGGCAGGGGCGCGACGCGGGGCCGCGCCTGGCAGGGGGGCGCGCGGCGGGGCCAAGGCCGCCTTCGGCCGCGGCCCGCTTCGGACTACCTATACCAGACCACCCCAACGCAACCCGAAGCCCTGAAGTTCGGGTTGGGGCGGGTCAGGGTTCCACATTGTGTTTTCTCGATGGTTCCCGCCCCCCCCCCTCCACTGGAAATCGATGGCGGATCTGAGCTTTCGGGTCGGGTTGGGGTGGTGTGGTGGGTGGTGAGCTTCGGCTCCGGCCCCTCGTGAACGTCGTCTTATTTTCGGGCGATGGCAGGACTGGGTTCCAAGGGACCTGGTTTAGATGATCTGTGCCGGGGACGCCCCCCCGGTCTCGTTCCACTCACCGGAATTGCCATCACCCGACTAGCACCAGCTACGGCAGGCCTGATTCAGTGATTCCAATCCATATGTTGGGCCTCGGGGCCCAATCACTAATCAGCTCCCCTTAACCGGGGTCCTGGCTATACCCGATATTCGGCGCTTCGACACTGGGCGGAAGGGGGACAAGGGGGGGGGGGGTCTGGCTCTGGACCTCTGCTTCACGCGACCGCTTGCAGCACTGCGTCCCGTGGGGGGAGACTCCGCCGCCCCGAACCAGGCGCCCACGGCAGCCAAGACCTATTCCAGGGGAGGGTGGGGAAGGGGTGTGGGCGCGAGGGCCCGCGCCGATCGGCAGAACGAAGCACAAGACAACGATCGCCCGTCGACTCCGTCGGTCTGCTTCGGCCTCGTCCCCTTTTCGGCCTCGGCCCTGCCGTCCCAGCGCCCGTTTGTTCGGCTCCCAGCAAGGGCCGCGCCGAGGCCGCAGCGGGGCGAGAGCCGCAGCGGGGCGAGAGAGCCGAAACGGGGCGAGAGCCGAAACGGGTCTGTAGCCGCGTGGGGCGCTGGCCCACGGAAGAGTCGGGGGGGGGCGCAGAGGCAGTGCCAACCGACGCGCCGCCGTCGAGAGCCCCTCGGCGTGGGCGAGGAAGCCCTGGATAAGGAATCGCTGGACGAAGAGCCACCGTCTGGCCATCGCTCGGACGTCCACCTCCTGTGTTTTTTCTCGGTTTCGCGCATGGTTCTTTCGCCAGATGATCAGGGGTGCTCCTCGATGGTCCTCGCCGAAGGAACAATGCGCACGTCCGAACGATGCCAAGTCGTAGAAGGAACCATGGGATGAGGGTCTGTGGGATGTGAAGAGCGCCTGGATGAGAAATCGCATGGAACCGTTGGATAAAGAACCGCTGGATAAGGAGCCATCGTAGGAGGAACTGTTGGACAATTAGAAGTGCCATTGGGAATTACGGTGAGCGCATTGGCTGAGGAGCCACTGGATAAGGAATCCAGGGTCTGAGGCTGGTGGGATACCAATCGAAGCTTGGCCATTGATATCACCGCCGCCCGCATCGGGTAAGGAACCCTCCAGGGTCTGAAGCCCTCAACGAACGCCACCACCGTAAGACGAAGGAACGACACGCCGACGGGCTCCCGGTGGCAGCGCGCTGCTGATAACTCGCTGCACCCTCTCCCCCATAGTAAGGATGCGCGCTAAGGGTGCAAGAAGGGCATTGGAAGGCCATGTCGACACTTTGCGAGCGGGGCGCAGCCAGCGAAAGCGGTCAAGGATGGGCCGAAGAGGAAGGATGCAGGGGTAGCCTTGGAAAGCTGCTCATCCTTGCTATGCGGGTTGACTGTGATCAACTGCCTGGAGACTCCCAATCAAAGAATCCGCCACCGTGCCTCTGGGCACGGAACGGGCGTGTCCTCAGGTCCTGGGCTCAATCATCTAAGCCTCAATCCTCACTCCTGGCGAATCTTAAATGGGCAAGGACCCCAAATGCACAAATCTCCCAGGGCTTGCCGCGTGTCCCCCCGGGCTCCTGGAAGTATTGTCGCATGTTGTTTTCGGCCGGGGCCCAAGACGGGCCAAGAGGGCTCCAAGAAGCCCCCCAAGACGCTCCAAGAGGGCCCCGAGTCGCCGAACGATCGCTCCAAGACGCTACAGATGGCCCCCAGACGGCCCAAGAGGCCTCCAAGACGCCCCCAAAGAGGCCTCCCAAGAGGCCTCTCAAGAGGGCCCCAAGAGGCCAAAACAATTGATTATCCTTGGGTTTTTGAAGCATTTTGGCGCTCCCAGACGGTCCTCCAGGCTCCCAAGACCGCCCAAGATGGCCCAAGCGGGCCCCGAAACGGCCCAATAGGTGCCCCAAACGGCCCAAGATGGCCCCAAGACGGCCCCAAAGTGGAGGCCCAAGAAAAGGAACACGAACCGAAAATCCGAGCCTTCCACCCCAAGAGGCCCCCAGGAGGCCCCAAGAGGCGCCCAGGAGGCCCCACAAGGCTCCCCAAAGACCCCCAGGAGGCCCCACGAAGCCCCCTAGAACCGGAAATGAGGCCCCAGGAGGCACCGAAACGGCCCCCAAGAGGCGTCCAAACTGCCTCCAAGAGGCCCCCGATGGGGCCTCCCATGAGATCCCCACGAACATCCACTAGGCTTCATGCCCGCAACACAGGCACGGTGGCGGGATGGTCCGAACGCCATTCGATAGAGCTTGGGGGCCTTCTCCTCCTCCTCCTCCTCCTCCTCCTCCTCCTCCTCCTGATCTTCCTCGCCATCCTCCCGCAAGTGTTCCCCAAAGGGTTTCCACAACAGCTGGGGGAACACATGGTCCGATAGCGTGGCAGAGTTCTGGCCACAACGCTCGGCCTACGGGCGATTCCAAAAGGCAGGGGGCGGCGGTGATTCGCCGTAGGCTTCCGTCGGGCATGTCCTCCTCCAGGCGATTTTAAAAAGAAATGTTTAGAATAATCAACATATACATGTTCGTTGATTGCACAAACACGTTTGAACACACGGGGATAACACTCTAAAAACTATGCCTACGGCGTAGGCGTCTTCGATAGAGCTTGGGAGTCGTCTCGCTGGAGGCGGCACCGCACGGTGGTGGCGGTCCTTCTGCTCCCTCCTCCGAGCCTGCGCGCTGGGCCTCCGCCGGGGCTGCGCGCCCGGGGTGTCCCGGATGTCGGAGGGGGGCCAACTGGGACAACGGCGGCCCTCTCCCGCCCAGCCCAACACCCGCCGCTCAAGATCGATTCCCGCCCAGAGATCCCATGCAACGGCAGAAGAATGGAGCGGCGTGCCTTTGGCCGTTTTCGGCCTCCAGGAGCCCTCGCCGGGCCCCAGGGCCGTAAAAACACGACTCGGGATGAACAACCAGCCCTAGGTGCACGGTTTCCCCCGAGGCCGTAAGCGACCCGAGGAGGTGGAGGAGGAGGAGGAGGAGGAGGAGGAGGAGGAGGAGGAGGAGGAGGGAGAGGAGGAGGAGGAGGGAGGAGGAGATGGAGGAGGAGGGGAGGAGGAGGAAGGAGGAGGGGAGGAGGAGGAGGAGGAGGAGGAGGAGGAGGAGGAGGAGGAGTGGTCCAGACTTTCAGGGCCCACGCATGGGAACAACTGGAGCGGCTGGATGCCTGGGCAGAGCCCTCCCCAGACGCCTCCCACCTAGGGTCGGAGTGTACTGGGTCGGAGGATCGCGGCCGCATCGTCGATGCATCACCGATGCATCACCGATGCATCGGCGATGTCGGCGATGCCTCGGCGACGCTGGCGCGGAGAAGATCGTGCTCCACATCGAGAAGCATCGCCGATGCATCGGCGATGTGGCGCGATCCTCCGACACCATGTCCTCCGATCCCATCAGGAGGCCTGGACTTTAGCAAACCGCCCTTTCGTGAAAACTGCCAGGCGCACTCCACGTCCGCACGGCGCCGCATTCCCGATGCACCCCAACGGCATGGCTAGTCAAAACATGCATCTGGCGACACGCATGTCGATTAGCGAAACCGACTGCGGACTGTACCAATACACTCGAATGCCAATGTCGAGTGAGCCGGTCACATTTCCTTATTCGACTTGTCTGTTCCCGGACCCTTCCCGGGGTCCATCCCCAGGCATCCGGCTTCCCCAATTCTTTCGATACGTGGCCCCCGGAGGTCTGGACCGCTTCCCTAAGGCCAGTTTGTCGTTCTGAGTCGTTCTTGAATGTCACAAGGCCTGGTGAGGGCCCCTGAGGCCGAAAACAGAACAACGCCCGCTCCAACTTTTTGGAGCGTCGGATCTCTGGGTCCTGACCCGTTTTTCGAGGCGGACCCAGCCGTGGCATCGAGCAGCCTCCAGGATTATACTCTATCGTACACGAGGACCGCATCCCAGAACTGACGTCGAGCACCCAGAAAAATGTCGGAATAGTGTATGCCCGACACGCTAGCGTAGTGTCGACGGAGTATCGCCTCCCAGGGCCCGAACCCTAGAGTTTCGGTACTCTATTGGTGCTCGAAGTTCTCTCTGGAGATCACGGCTGAAGCAGGCTGGAACATGACTACCTACCAAACCACCCCAACCCAACCCGAAGACCTGAACTTGACCCGCATTTCGGGTCAGGGGGGGTACGGGTTCCATGTGTTTTTCCAATGTTCCCCGACCCCCCCCCACTGGAAATCGAGGATCAATTTCGGCCTTCGGGTTGGGTTGGGGTGGTTTGGTGGGTGGTGAGAACATCACAACTCCAGGAGGCCCCGAAAAGGACGACCAGCACCAGGGAGGGCCGCCGTTGTCTCGGCTGGCCCTCCTCCGAGGAGGCTGTCCTGCCGCCTCTCCGGCGAGGGGATGTCCGGCGACTCTGCGGACGGCGCCGGGCTGGAGTCCCAGCGAGCCCTGAAGGCGCCTGCACTGCAGGAGAGCCCCGAATCGACTCGATGAGTCGCATCGGCGGTCGACATGAATCGGATCGGCGGAGATCGGCAGCCAGGCCAGGAGTAGCCGAGTCGGCGGAAGTCGGCAGGTTATCGAGGCCTCCATGGAAGAACCGAAATCCACATCGGTATCTAGGGAAACAACATGTGACATAAACATAAAAACTCGGAAGTCCGCGCGGATTTCTCGGATCGGCGCTGGGGCCACCCGGCGGCGCCTCCGGCGCCGCGCCTCGCGCGCTCCGCGCGCCAGGGAGGGGGGTCCAGCGCCGATCCGAGAAATCCGTGCGGACCTCCGAGTTGTTATGTTTGTGTGACTTTGTGTCCCTTTAGCATCCGGACTCGAGCCGAATCGGAATCGGAACCCATCGGAACCGGGTCGACTCGAGTCGGATCGAGGAGTCGACGCGAGCCCCGCGCCTGCGCCGTCCGCCGGAGCGCCGCCCTGCCCGGCGTCGGTCAGCGCCAGCGGGCGCTGCCAGCGCGGCAGCTTGCCGCGGGCGGCGCCGCCTCGCCGTGCGGACGCCTGGTCGGCCATGTACGCCGCGCCCATGAACTTCTCCACGGACCTGCAAGGGCACAGGCGGCCGCGCAAGGAGCTGAGCCTCCGGAGGCCCGCGCGGACTCTGGGCTCGGCGCTGGGCCTTTCCCTCCCCGGCGCGCGGAGGGCGCCCAGGGGCAGCGCCGACAGCGCTGCCAGGGGGGGTCTGGCGACGACCCCCAAGAGATCCGCACGGACCTCGGGAAGCGGATCTTGCCAGCGCTCGGGCGCCCACTCTGTGTGCATGTGTTGGTCTCGTGCGTGTGTTTTCTCCGTGCGATGAGCCAAGATGCTCCTCGATGGTCCTCGCCGAGCAACAAAAAACATCACACGTCCGAGCGATGTCAAGTGATGCCTCTGCGCCGATTCCTCGCCCCCGAAGGGGCCGTCTCTCCACATGGCGGCGGTACGCCCGCAGCTGCGGCTGCATGCCGTGCTCCTGAGGGGGAGCGAGGGGACAGGCGAAGGGAAACAGCAGCGATGACCATCAACGGACCTTGCGCGAGATGGCGTTGCGACCTTACGCGGTGGCTTACGCGGGCCGCCAGCGTGGTGCGCTGCACTTGGAACGGGGGGCGCTTACGCGCGACCTCACGCGGGCAGCCGACGCGCGAATGTCGGCGCAATCGAGCACGTGTTCTTGCGCCGCTCACACTGAAGCGACGGTACAGCCACCGTGCTCCCATGAGGAACGCTGCACAAGGAACATGAATGGCTTTCCTGGCCACGGCGAGCCTCGGCTCCGAATAGGTTCCCCGACCTGGATCTGAGGAACGGCCCGAAAGAACAGAGCCCCTCCTGATCTCAGAGTGGTCCTTACACGTCAGCGCCTTGCCTGTGCGTCGCCGACAGATCGGAGACAGGCCCTCGACAGCGACACCGCACGCTCCTGGGCGGGGTGGGGCAACCCACGCCCCGATCGGCGAGGAATCGGCGATCGGGGGTCGACGCTTCCTTCCCCCAGGGGGCCAGCCCACCCCGAGGCTCCTCATCGTCTGGCCTTCGGGTCATCGCCCGGACCTCTGGCGACCGTCCGGGACGGTCCTGGCACCTCTGGACGCCCCTCGGCGGGGCGCAGCTGCGGGAGAGCACCCCGAGGCGGGGAAACATCGCCGAGGGACCGACGGAGACGTCGGAGACACGACGGAACCGACCGAGAGCCTGGCCCCCTCTCCCCGTCGTTGCCCTTGACCAGACCCGCGAAGATGTGATTTTGTTGACCCTCCCCCGCGTCGTTGCCCTTGACCCAGATCCGCGACGTCGTTTTCTTTCGTTTTTCCCAACCATCCTGTGGTGTTGGGTCCTCGTTTTGAAGAGACGGTGCCCCGCGTTCCTCCTCCTTCCTCCCGCTGCCCCCTCCCTCCCTCCCCCTTGCCTCTGCCCTTCGCATGTCTCTGTTTCGGCACATCCCTCACGCGTTCCGTGGCCCCATAGGGAGCTCCACCGAAGGCCCCAGTGACAGGGTCCGCATGGCGGCCCCGCATTTTGGCGCACCCCTCACACGGTTCGTGGCCCCATAGGGAGCTCCACCGAAGGCCCCAGTAGCAGGGTCCGCATGGCGGCCCCGCATTTTGGCGCACCCCTCACACGGTTCGTGGCCCCATAGGGAGCTCCACCGAAGGCCCCAGTGGCAGGGTCCGCATGGCGGCCCCGCATTTTGGCCCGCCCCTCACACGGTTCGTGGCCCCATAGGGAGCTCCACCGAAGGCCCCAGTGGCAGGGTCCGCATGGCGGCCCCGCATTTTGGCGCACCCCTCACACGGTTCGTGGCCCCATAGGGAGCTCCACCGAAGGCCCCAGTGGCAGGGGCCGCATGGCGGCCCCGCATTTTGGCGCACCCCTCCCACGGTTCGTGGCCCCATAGGGAGCTCCACCGAAGGCCCCAGTGGCAGGGTCCGCATGGCGGCCCCGCATTTTGGCGCACCCCTCACACGGTTCGTGGCCCCATAGGGAGCTCCACCGAAGGCCCCAGTGGCAGGGTCCGCATGGCGGCCCCGCATTTTGGCGCACCCCTCACACGGTTCGTGGCCCCATAGGGAGCTCCACCGAAGGCCCCAGTGGCAGGGTCCGCATGGCGGCCCCGCCCCATTTTGGCGCACCCCTCACACGGTTCGTGGCCCCATAGGGAGCTCCACCGAAGGCCCCAGTGGCAGGGTCCGCATGGCGGCCCCGCCCCATTTTGGCGCACCCCTCACACGATTCGTGGCCCCATAGGGAGCTCCGCCGAAGATGATGCCCACAATTGCGGTACTAACAATTGCTCATGGTTGGGTCTTTCGCCAGGCTAATTTTTCCTTCTTCTTATTTCTCTACAGCGTGCAACCCCGAAGGCCTCGACCCCTTCCCTGCGACCAACTTTCTGTCCTGAGTCCCGCCCAGAGCTCTCCGTTGTGATTCTCCACCCGACAAGTTGGGGTTACAGTCGGCCCGTATCATAAGGATGCGCGCGGTAGGGATACAAGGGCCTTGGAGGGCCATTTCGAAGCTTTCCGAGCGGGGCGCGGCCAACGAACGTGGCCAAGGATGGACCGAGGAGGCAAGGATGCAAGGGTGCTCTTGGGCAGGTTGCCCACCCTTGCTGTGCGGGTTGCCTGTGCTCGTGGGGCCTGTTCGGGCCAGCCTGGATCACCTGGGGGGGGCCTGTCCGTGCGCAGCCCGAGGCCCCAGCAGAGGGGGGCTCGGGGCGGTCACCGGCGACGCATCGGCATCGGCGACATCGGCGATGCATCGGCATCGGCATCGGCGACGCATCGGCGCTGCATCGGCATCGGCGACATCGGCACCGGTCATCGGCGACGCGTCGGCATCGGCAGGGCGGTCATCGGCGACGCATCGGCATCGGCGACGTCGGCGATGCATCCCCAGGTGGGGTCGGAGGATCGCGCAGCACCGCCGGTGCTCCCAGGGCGTCCCGCCTCGTGCCTGCGACGAGTGGGGGCTGCACGCCACGGCCGCCGGGCCCAAAACACGCGCGACGGTGCCTCCTGTGCCCCGCCTCGCGCTCCTGGGCGGGGGCCACTCGAAACAATGCACTGGTTTCATGACTCCAGGGGGTCTGTCGGCGGCGAGTGGTGGTGGGGGGAAGGAGAAGCCAAAGGCATTCTCAAAGGCGGCGGGACTTCTCAGAAGCCCTCGCGCTTTCTGAGAAGTGTTTCCCATATCCAAAGGAGGGGCTTCTGGTCACTACTCTGACCGCGCCGAATCCTTTGGGTCACCTCCTCCCCTCCTCCTTATCTTCCCCATCCCACTCAGAGTATGATGATGATGATGCTGATGCTGATGCTGATGATGATGATGATGATGATGATGATGATGGTGATGATGGTAATGATGCTGATGGTGTTGATGATGATGCTGATGATGATGACGATGATGGAAGGTGATGGTGATGACGACGATGATGATGCTACTGATGATGATGACGACGACCAGAGGGGGCCAGATTGTGAGGATGTCTCGAGCGGTTTGCTGGCTTCAGCACTCCTAAGCGGGGGCCGCCAGGGGTATCTCACGGCCTCCGTTCGCGCCAGATTGCGGGGATGTCTCGAGCGGTTTGCCTGTTTGCATGCCCAAGATCCTCAGCTTTCGCAGCAGATGCGGAGGATGTCTCGACCGAGGCGCTCGTTTTCACCCCCAAGCGGGGACAGAATTTAAAGGTGTCTCGATCGGTTCGCTTGTTTTGGTGGCCAGACTCGGGGGCACGGATCCTCCCCAGGATGCCACAGGAGGCTCCAGCAGGCTCCAGGAGGCCCCAGGAGGCAACAGGAGGTCCTAGGAGGCCACAGGAAGACTCAAGAGGCCATAGGATGCCCCAAGAGGCTTCAGGAGGCCCCAGGAAGCTCCAGAAGGCCACAGGAGGCTCCAGGATGCTCCAGCAGGCCACAGGAAGCCATAGGAGGCCCCAGAAGGCCATAATAAGCGCCAAGAGGCACCAAGAGGCCCTGGAAAGCACCAGGAGGCCTCAGGAGTAGGAGGCCTCATAAGGTCACAGGAGTGAAGGAGTGGACTCAATCCCATGTGTTGTACGTATGCTCCTATGGATTGGGCCTCCCCTGGAGCAAGAAGCCTTAGTGGTTTACGTGTGTTTCGATCGATTGTCCGATTCCTGCGAATCCAATACTAAATGTTTTACGTATGTTCCTATCGATTGGGCGTTTTACGTGTGTTCCTATATATTGCCCTTCTCCTGTTGCTCCAATCCGCAGTGTTGTATGTTCGTCTGTTCCTTATAGATTGGGCCTCTCCTGGGGCACGAATCCTCCCCAGGATACCCTAGGAGGCTCCAGGAGGCCCCACGAGGCCCCAGGAGGCTCCAGGAAGTCCCAGGAGGTTTCAGGAGGCCCCAGAGGCCCCAGGCTCCTGCGCAGAGACGCGCTCGTACTACTGAGACTCATTTACACTCCGACTCAATTCACAATTAGATTCACTCCCAGACCGTCAATGTTCAAGCCCGCCCGTGACTATTCGACTATTCGACCACTAGACTCTCACGGCGGACAGGTCCACGCTGATAGATGCACACATTGGGAGCTCCACGCAGTGAATAATTGTCTGTCTTCGGGGAAGGCGTAGAGAAATTTTCACAAGGCTGGAGGACTTCCGAACCTTCCGATAAGGCCTTCTCCGAATCACTTCCCCCCCTCGCTCACCGCCGAGTCCGGGGAGCTCCTCTTCAGGAGAGGCAACAACATAAACATGTTTTCTCAGAGGTCAGCGCGGATTTCTTGCGTCGGCACTGGGTCCCTCCTTTCTGGCGCGCGGGGTGCGCCATGGACCGAGGAAGCAAGGATGCAAGGGTATCCTTGGGAAGGGTGAGCATCCTTACTATGCGGGTTAACTGTGCTGTTTATGCCGCTTCTGGCCACCTATTCGAATCAACCGAGGGCGTCTGGGATCGGGAGAGCAATACACACCCTGAGATCCTGCAGCACGAAACAGCTGCAACATTGGAACAGCAACAAAAGCTCGACGGGAAACCCTGGACCAAATCTCTCTGCGCCGCTTCTCGAGCCGCATACCTCCTCCTCCTCCCCCTCCCCCTCCTCCTCCTCCTCCTCCTCCTCCTCCTCCTTCTTTTCTTCCTCCTCCTCCTCCTGATCCTCCTCCTCCTCCTCCTCCTCCTCCTCCTCCTCCTCCCCCTCCTCCTCCTCCTCCTCCTCCTCCTCCTCGGAGGCCGAGACGAGGTAAGATCGCCCCTTGCGAGAAACTGGCGACGGCAGGACCTCAGGGTGACCCGCGCGGGGGGTGCGCTTGGGCCTCAGGCTGCGCACGGGCAGCCAGGCCCCCACGCGATGCTCCCTGCTGGCCTCGGCAGGCCCCTGCATGGTCCGAGCGCCGCTGGCGGCGGCGCCCATGCGTCGAGACCGCCCCAGGCTGCTCGGGGGGCCCGTTGAGTCCAGCTGGGGCTGGCGAGCGTCTTCTTAGTTCGGCGATGCGACA